CCCGGCTAGACATAGGCGCTCGATCGGCTCAGTTCGGCCTGGTTTCAGCTCGCCCAAACACGTTCTTGACCACTCACGCACCACTCCCGGCTACTCCCACTTACCTCCGTGACCCCCCCCCCCCCCCCCCCCACCCCCTCGACCCAAGTCTCTAGCCCATTCTCTCCTCCCATCTCTTTGACTGCCATCCCTCCTCCCCTGACAATTGTACCCTCGAGCCCCTCGCCTTGATCGTCTCCCTACCCACCTGTCATGCGTCGACAGGATCCCTTGGGATTGACACTTGCCCCTCCCTCGCCCCGTTCTCTACCCCTCATCTCACCTACCTCGCCACCATCTCTCTCCATCCACACGGCCCCAGGCGACTTGTGTAGCTCCCCTCACCGACCCTAGCTCTTCCCTTTGCTTTCTCGCCCTCTCGCCTGTAGCTCTTGACGCTCTCCCTGTTACGTCCTCTTTGCCCTTGCTCACTTCCCTTGCTCCCTTTGTTGTCTCCGCCTCCCCTGCGACGGTCCCTTCATCGACCAACGTCCCATTGCCTCTACCCTATCTAGGTTTCACCTCCCTTCTTTTCTTTTATTTCCCTCTTAGCCCTGCTGTTTCTAGCATAATGGATAGAAACCTGCTCCCTTTTGGTATTGCCTTGGTTCAATCCTCTGACTCTTCCCCTTTGGAACCAGACGTAGTCTCTGGCTTGTTGTCCCCTCACCTTTACTTTGAGTCACACCTCGTTCGGGTCTACCAAGTAAGAACAATGCACGTTCAGTATCCCCCCCCCTTATCAACACTGGTCGGCAGACTACTCCTCTGTGCATATCCACCATTACCTTGCTTACCTTCCCTCTCTGACCTCCATTGTTGCACCTTCTCCCCTCTCCTCTCTTTCCCCTTTTGAACCTTTTTCTCCTCTTGTTTACGGGTATCATGAAGTATCACGCTCTTCCACCCCCCACCAGGTCACTAGATTCCCTCTCTTCCCCTCCACCCAACCCTCTCCCACTCTCTTCCCCTCGACCAAACCCCTCTTTTTTCCTCTTTTCAACCCAGAACTTACCCTACGTCCTTCCCCCTTCTCATCAGGACCCGATTTCTCTAGTCTCTGCACCCGCTTCTAATGATGAAGAGACTCTTCTCGTCTCTGCACCCTCTTCTTCTGATGGAGAGACTCATCATGTAGACACATCCACCATCACTGCTCAAGCTGGCACACCTATAGCTGAAACCAGCTCCAAACATGTCAACACAAATGCCACTGATGGAAATAACAGGGAAGAACATGTCAGAGACCAAGAAAAGATGAAGGATATCTACAAAGTTATGGGCTTCGAACACGATGGACCCGCTCACCTCTTCTTATAGGCTGATGCTCAGAGTCGCATTAAGGTGCGATCAAAGGGACAGAGGGAACTTTTGAACCTCTTTTCCTCTCTCTT